CACACACACACACACACACACACACACACACACACACACACACACACTGTACCGTAAACATGTTTCCAGTTTTGCACACTCTCACAAACAATCTAATTGCCCTACTACAATATCTAATTAACAATATGATAAAATGCACACCAAAGGAAGAATACAAGCAACAAATTAGAAAAACATGAGCAAAATCAGTTAATGATTGCATTTAGTTCTGAGGATGTGAGCAAGCATCATCTGCTTTTCTTCTGCAACTGCTCTTGATATTATTGCCGATAATGGACAGCAAAGTGCTGTAATGCACCAAGCTTTCAACCAGGAGTTTCTAGCTTAGGCTTGCAGCTTTATCCAGGTGGGAGGTAAAGACAAACACTTATATGTGGAATAATGGAAACAGGGAATGAAGGGAACCATGACCCTAGTCTGATAGGGTTATGTTTATCAGTTATTTTTCTGCATGCTGTAAACAACTTATTGTCAACAACAAATGAACACAGCATGTCATCCAGCAAATTCTAACCCAGGTGATTTAGAAGAGTGAAAAGACCTTCATACTGATAATAACACTGGTTGTTTCATGCCATGCATATTGTCTGTGTGATGTTTCTGTTCTGCTCTTCAGGCCTTTGAGGACGTGTACATAGAACAGAGGAAGACAGTCCGTATCATCCTGGAGTATGCGGATCGTGTTTTCACCTACATCTTCATCCTGGAGATGTTGCTGAAATGGGTGGCTTATGGCTTTGTCAAGTACTTTACAAATGCCTGGTGCTGGTTGGACTTCTTCATTGTTGATGTAAGTACATTTGTATGTGGCTTGGTTACATACTGGCCACATGATGATAGTTTAAGATTGCAACATCTACAGATTTGAGAGTTTAAAGTCAGTGAGTCATTTGTCACACAGAAAAGATGCTGTATTGGGGAAACACGTATGTTTGTTTTTTGTTTCTACCAAATGGGCGAATGTCTCAAAAAACATGGTTTTATTGCTTCAGCTAAAAACTAGAGAGATAACAGTTCCTGCACTGCTGAGTCACAGACCTCTTTATCTAGTCAGCAGTGTCTACAAACACCAGGGACCACAGAAACGCATCTTCACATTGCTCCATGCTTCTGTCATGAAGCCTGGAGATTTTGCTTAGTTTCAGTAGCACAATGGCCTCTCTGTCCTGAATGTTCAATCTGGCCTGCTGAGGCATTCAGTGTTTCCCTCTCTTGACAGCTACTGTAATTCATATGTGGTTTATCCTTTTCTCTCATTTGTGTGTGATCTGTTTCTCACATGAATTCTTTCCTGCATCGATATTTAAAAAATGATGTCATAGCTAGTGAAATATCTGGTGCTTCTCAGGAAGTGACACTTTTTATAGCACTTTACTTCGTTATTTTACGGTTTTGAGGAAAAGAATAATTTGGAAATTTGAGAATTAAAGTGATTGATCACTGATTGTGATGGCATACATTCAATGATATTTTATGGACAGTTTATTTAATTAGTTGATCATTTCAGTCCCTGACATTGACCTTTCCAAATCCAAATGATTTTTTCCTCAAAATGTGTAATTTAATTCAATTTTATATATTTAGCAATAAATTTATATTTTTTGTCTTGTCGTAATATTGATTTCTATATATATATGTATATATGTGTGTTTTTTTTATTATGTCCTATGTTGTGCTAAGTCATTCATTTATTTTATTTGTCCTTTGACCACCAATTTATCTTCACCCTTAATTGTGAAGTGCCAGTCTGTCTATGTTAACGTCGACATATACATATAAACAAGCATTTAGTTATGTTTAATAGGAATGTAGTATTGTATGTTGTATTCCTGATGGGGGTCAGAAATTGTAAGTATGTTTACCCTGCACACATACCATATGTGTGCATTTTTTTATGATTATTTGTGTATATCATGTATTTTCAGTTACTGTCTGATTGTCTTTTACAATATGTAACGTCACAATAGTTTGTTGAGAACAAAGAACATAGGAGTAGTCAGGTTGCTTCACAAACATCTGCCTTTGTTTTTAACAAACATCCTCAGTTATCAAGATTACGATTGGAATCTGGCCACTAACTTTCAGTGATCATGTTGAAAAGATCAGGTGGTCAAAGAATCATTTGAATATAGCAGTAGAAGATGTTAAAGTTTGGAGAAACTGACCAAATGACACTGCTGCCCACAAGAAGGACAAAAGAAGGACAAAGAATAAGTGTGTGAGTCTTCACACGGCCACTTCAATAGTTATTCTTAATTAGCATTATGTTCAATCCCCTTTTGTCTTCAGATCTCCTTTAATTCTTTGTGGCACAGATGCAACAAGGTGCCAGAAACATTCCTCTGAGATTTTGGTTCATGCCGAGTCGACATGACTGCATCACACAGTTGCTGCAGGTTTACTGGAATCTCCACATCACCTTCTAGAAAGGTGTGAAGGTGCTCTATTGGACTGAATCTGCTAACTGTGAAGGTCATTTGATTTCAGTGACCTCATCGTTAAGATACCAGAAACCAGTGGTATGTTCTCCTACTGGAAGGAGCCATCAGCAGATGGTCACTGTGGTCATAAAGAAATAAACATGGTCAACAAGACCCCAGAGGAAAATGTCTCCCACACATTATACCAGCAACACTGTGAACCATTGATGAGACAGGATGAACCCATGTTGTTTATGCCAAAATCTGACCCTACCATCCAAATGTTGCAGCAGAAATCAAGACTCATCAGAACACACAGCATTTTTCTTCTGTTGTCCAGTTTTGGTGAGCCTGTGCAAATTGTAGCCTCAGATTCTTGTTCTTAGTTAAAAGGAGTGCAGAAGACCACACCCAGTGCTGCTGAAGCACATCTGCTTCAGAGGTAGATGTGTTGTGCATTCAGAGATGCTCTTCTGCGTACCTTTGTTGTAAAGAGTGTTTATTTGAGTCAATATGCTTTCCTGTCAGCTTAAAGCAGACTGGCCATTCTCCCCTGACCTCTGGCATCAACAAGGCATTTTTAGCCAGAGAACTGCCGCTCAGTGGATATTTTTTTTCTTTTTCAGACCATCCTCTGTCAACCCTGGAGATGGTCATGTGGGAAAATTCCAGTAGCTCAGCAGTTTTTGAAACACACAGACCAACTGTTCTGGCATCAACAATCACACTGCGTTCAAAGTAATTTAAATCAGTTTGAAATCGAGCAGGTCATCTTGGCCATGTTTACATGTGCTGAGCTGCTGTCGTGTGGTTGGCTGATTAGTTAATGAGCAGTTGAACAGGTGAACCAAATGAAGTGGTCAGTGAGTGCACACACAACATTTGTGAGACTTATAATACAATGTTATGCAGAAGATGTTAATATCACTACAGGACTGAGATATAAATTCACTTCCATAGAAAGCCCTTTAAATGTAAATCAAAACAATATGCAGTTACTTGGCTGTATATAACAACAATCAATATAAAACAACCAAATGTTAAAACTGAGAAATGATATTGTCGCTTTAAATGATATGTCAGCAAATTATTTAAAAAGGGTTTAGATATTTATATTTGTTAAATATTGGCATTTATAGTGCTTCAAATAGTATCAGTTGTTTTCAGATCTGGACTTTTAAGCAGTTTTGCATTGTCTGGTTAAGTAAGGTCTTCTCTATGAAAGATATAAATAAGGACAATTTTTGTCAAACATTTCCCATTAATGAGCAAGTGATTTTTATGCGCATTAACTTTGTAATGAAGCTTGCAAAATCAAGGGTTATCTTCCAATTTACACACAGTGTAAAAACTTCAGCAAAGGTTTGAGCTATAACTTTAGAAAGTGTTGTGCCAAAAGCAAAAGAAATCAGTTTAGACTTGAGAAAAAGAATTGCTTCTGCTCACAAAGCAGGAAGTTTATCACAGAGTTCCTGAGTGTCAAGAACTGGAGCAAGAAGTGTGATTGAGAAATTCAAATAGAGCAACACAGTACAGAACAAGCCTGGCAGAGGCAGAAAGCGAAAGATTTCAAAGAGCGTGGAAAGAAAACTAGTGAGAGATGTGTCTGCAGAGCCCAGGACAACTGCAGAGGGGTAGGGTAACCCTACACCTGCAAACCAGACTGAAACAAGCTAAGGTGAAGATCAGAAGAAAGTAGAGATTTTTAGCCACAGATATGCTGCTTATAGTTGGAGAAAGAAGGGGAAGGCATACAAGCCAAAATGACACCATCCCTACAGCGAAACATGGTGGTGGGAGCATTAAGCTGTGGGGATGCTTCAGTCCATCTGGAACTGGAAATCTCATCAAGGTGGAAGGAATGAAGAAGAACGAAGGATATGTGACGATTTTAAATGAAAACCTCAAGCAGTCGGTAGCAAAACTGTCCTTACTTTTTTACAATTTTCATGTAGGCTAAGTACAGATTTTCTAAATATGTGAGTTGGATCCTCTCTTCCCAACAATTATAGTAAGGGGTCTGTCCTATGGGTCATGATGGACGACAAAAGTGTTCAATTATTCAAGTTACATGGTGGATTTTTTTTTTTTTGCGTAACCCTGAAATATGAAGACATCGCAATATAGTCTGATAACTTAATCCAGATTTTTTTAATGCAGCCCTCTGTCCTAACACTGACCTGTCCTCTCTCTCACAGCAGGTTCCTATAACTGTGTCTCTCTTTAAGTTAAGAGAGACGTTGTGCAGCTATCGAGAGGGACTGAGGGGTCGGTGTTTGGGGGTCCAGGGTAAGGTTGATGTGCTGTGGTGGGACTCCTACTTTCACAGGCTTTTCCTCTCTTCTAACCCTGAAAGTTGTCGTCAGCTTCTGCGTTTTCTCTCCCTTCTTTAAGTACAATGCCCTCTGATGTGGAAACTGTACTGTTTTGTATCGTGTACTGTGTGTATATTATTGTGTCACATTGATTTAGTGTTTGTGAACTCATTTCTCCTCTAATTTTTCCCTTTGTTTGACTCTCTTCTCTTCCTCTCACTGTGTCAACCACAAGTTTCTTTCCAGGTGTGCTCACTGTGCTGTTAAGCTGGTTATCACGCTAGACTGGCTTGCCAAACTAAACCAAACTCAAACATAAGCAAACACATTTTTTTTAAAAAGAAAAGGAAAAAAAGAAGTCCAGCTACGCTTTATTGACCGTTGTTTATTGTAATAACTCCTGTTTAACCGTTATGCTATATAGATACATATACTTACACATATATAACCTATATATGTACTTATATATATCTGTATATAACCATTCAGCCATCCTTACACTTTAGAGTCCACCTTTCTCTCTATTTCCCCTCTAACTTTGTGGGTCCTCTCTTCCTTTGCCTCTGTCTTTCCCTCTTCTGTCCCTATCTGTGTAGGTGTCTATAGTCACCCTTATAGCTAATGCGTTGGGCTACTCCGATCTAGGCCCGATTAAATCACTCAGGACACTGAGGGCCTTGAGACCCCTCAGGGCCCTGTCACGTTTTGAAGGGATGAGGGTAAGACCCAAGATACCAGGCAGCTGGTCCTTTTGCATGCCGAATAAATAAAAAGTATCAGCGCATGCTAGAGATGGCAGAATAGATTTTAAATATCTCTGAGGGGACTTTTCTTTTTTTAAAGATGACTCCTTGGATTAGTGAGAAGCTTTTTGCATGGACGCAGATCATCTCAGATGGTCATCATACATCTGATTTGATTAATCATGTTTCATTTCATATATAATAAATTTAGCATTATGTTAAAGCATTTAGCAGTGACTCCAAATATTAGCAAAATTAAACTCTGTCCAATGCTTTATTTAAAAAAGTAGACTGCACTCCAATTTTTTGTTTGAGTGATTCAGCACGCTACAATAAAAGCTCTGTTTAGTACCAGCTGAAGGAACAACTAGAGGTTGGTTTGAACTGTCAGGCAAAACAAATTCAAGCTGAGCCATGCAATAGGGTTATGACACAGACCCAAAATGCAGTCTGTTAAGTGCTACAGAGCCCCCAGCTCAAATGAACAGATATCCAAATTAGTAGTCAATCTTTGTGCATACTTCATTTACAAGGTGCACACAGTTAAGTCTGTCCTTAAGTGTGTGCACAGTTTCTACATCTATAGTTGTGATGTAACTCCAGAGTTTTAACTAATAAACAAACAAAACAGAATCTGGTTTAATCTGGTTATTTCATGTGATGGATTGCGTCAGCCTCTGGTTGTTGCTGGGCAAAAAAAAACAACAAAAATTTTTATCGTGCCTTGGCTCAGCATCTTCTGGCTTTTGCTCTGGCTCAAGTGTCCTGTTATCTGATATTATCACAGTTTGGCTTTGGCATTGTCACACTGGAAGATCAACAAACTTCTGGTTGCATAACCCCTCCCCTGACATCCTTGCTCATCACTCCTCAGTGAATTTCATCACCATGATTTTCACGATCACCGTTTTGCAGTTATATTAAGTTATCGCATAGCTGCATTGTCTCTATATTACAACATTAGACAGAACACAAAATAACGCAAATAATTTTGACATTTGATGTTTGCCTATAGTTTTGGTTTATTTGGCTTTCTGTTTTCATGGCTTGGTGTTTGGAAATGCACATTCCTGTGTTTTCCTCCTAATTCTAACAGCTGTATATCATTCAGGACGGTAAAGTTATCTTTTATATTAACAGTTCATGCAATCATTACTTAATTGATTGAATTAATTTGTTGCATTGAGCAGCCACAGCTAACACAAATGTTCTCTTGACATACTGGAACACAAATAGTATACGAGTGTGTATGAATGCAATATACTTTTGATGGGAATAACAATATGCTGGGGCACAATACAAAAAAATCTGATAATGTGGATTAGAAGCTACAAAAGGATAACTTTATAATGATTTAGAACTAGTTGTAATGAGTTTTAGTTTAATATACCAAGCTGTCATAAAACAGTACTACGTCATTTAAATGCTGACAGTCAAAAGTGATGATTTATAAAATTTGTAATATCCCCTTTATTACCAAAACCTATAACACAAACTATTTTAAGCATGGCTTTCTGTTCAAAGTTGAAATAATCAGAGTTCTGCACTGTTTGTATTGTGCCCTGTTGTTATACTCGCTTGTAGGTTATTGTGATTGGCATGAATTTTTACGAAGCAATCACATAACGCAACTTGAGTCTCTAAGGGAGGGAAAGAATGTGCATTTCTATGTAAGTGTGTGTTTCTGTGCAAAATGTTATAACATCTACAAGCAGGTGGTGTTTGATTGCTAACATACACTCTTGTCTGCTCCCCACCCCCCTGTTCTTTTTAGGTTGTAGTGAATGCCTTGGTGGGTGCAATTCCCTCAATCATGAATGTGTTGCTGGTGTGTCTCATCTTCTGGCTCATCTTCAGCATCATGGGTGTCAATCTGTTTGCTGGAAAGTATTACTATTGTTTCAATGAGACAGCTGAGGAGTACTTTCTACCGGATGAGGTGAACAACAAAACAGAGTGCCTCAAACTCATCAGTGACAACTATACTGAAGTCAGATGGAAGAATGTCAAGATCAATTTTGACAACGTGGGCGCGGGATACCTGGCACTCCTACAAGTGGTGAGAAACTTTTTTTTTGCTACTTCGCATTTGTACAATTTTTTTGTTTTCTCACACTGTGACTGCCACCATCGCAGGCAACATTCAAAGGCTGGATGGACATCATGTATGCGGCAATAGATTCTAGAAAGGTAAGCTTTTTCAGTTTACAAATAGTCTGACTTTCACATCAGCAGGACCTACAGTTTTTTTAATATGTTTTTTTGTTTATGGCAATTTGTAGGTGGAGGATCAGCCCATTTATGAGGACAACTTGTACATGTACATCTACTTTGTCATATTCATCATCTTTGGCTCATTCTTTACCCTAAACCTCTTCATTGGTGTCATCATTGATAACTTCAATCAACAAAAGAAAAAGATAAGATTGCTTTTCTTCATTTATCTCTCAAATATACACATTTTTACTTTCTCACCAGAGTTAGATGAAACAGTCAATTACACTATAATCAAGAAGACAGATGTATGTCCCAAAATGTCAGGTTAATCCTTTAGGATTAAAATCTACACCGCTGACTTTGACTTTTTTTTAAAGTAGATCCTGCACTGGAAAATGTGGTCCTGCAGATTGTAACCAAATTATTTTTTGTCCCTTTACTTTGGAGGTCAGGATATCTTCATGACAGAAGAGCAGAAGAAGTATTACAATGCAATGAAGAAACTTGGGTCCAAGAAACCACAGAAACCAATCCCCAGGCCCCAGGTAAATATTCTCCTCCCTTCTCCTCCACGCAAGTTACATTTCTAAAAATCATTAAGAAAATCACTCCAACATCCCTCTTCTGTCTTCTCGCTTTCTCCTCAGAACAAAATCCAGGGCATGGTGTTTGACTTTGTGACGCAGCAGGTGTTTGACATCTCCATCATGATACTCATCTGCCTCAACATGGTCACTATGATGGTGGAGACAGACAATCAGTCGGAGGAGACAGAGAACGTGCTTTACTGGGTCAACTTTGTCTTCATTGTTGTCTTCACTGGCGAGTTTTTACTGAAGCTCTTCGCACTACGTCACTATTACTTCACCAATGGCTGGAACATTTTCGATGTGGTTGTGGTCATCCTTTCAATTGTGGGCAAGTATTTAAAAAGGCTGTTTATGCATGAGGGGAAAAGTCAAAGCAGCTTTACTGGAAATGGCTCAAATAAGCCAATTTCATTCACGTACTGCAGATGCACACAGCTCAAACATGAGCCAGACTTTAAGCTAACCTGTGTGTGGTCTCCTGCAAACTCTGTTCAGGCAGCTCTCTTGCCTAAACCAAACTTTGTGTTTCTACCAGTTGTAATATATATGAATTAAAATATATGTAGCACTAATGTGCGCAACCTGTCAGAAGGTGAAATTTAAAATCTTTCTTTATATTTTGCTTTCAAGCAGCCAGACTTTCTTGGAATTTTTAAAGTGGTGTTGAGCAATAGCACTTTCTTGCTAGTAGCCTGTCACAAAAATCCATAATTTGGTTCCATTTCTTTAATCGAATCTATGAAAATATAACATAGTCTGACAGGGATAAAATTTTATTTTTGCACCAACAAAATAGCTAAAAGCTTGGCTTATCTCAGCATGGTGGGCAACTGTGCCGTTAAAAGATTTAAAGCCAATCTTATGGAAGGGAAACATTGAGAAAGGGCTGAGGTATGCCAAATTACTCAAGAACTGGACTGAAAATAAGCCTCAGGAAAGCTGCATAAGAGAGTTCAGGCTCAGTTAAAGAACACAGCTGGTGTAAAGAAATATTTCCCATTTTCCAAGTAAATATAAAGAAATATAAAGAAATCAGGGATTGCTGGACTTTTGCCCAGTATACATAAAATCAAATATAAAAAAAACTTCAATTTCTTTCTTTCAAATGTCTTCAGTTCAAACGTTGCCATACAGTTTTTCCTGGCTTTTTGTTGTGATCCTCGTGCTGTATAAAAACAGATGGATTACTAACTAAGACCAACAAGTAATGAAGAATCAATGTTTCTTTTCCTGCTGTGTGGAATGGGGTAAAGCATTCAGTCGGCTTTTGTCTCAGCCTTAACTAACATGTGTTTGTTTTTCCTTCCTTTGAATTTCAGGAATGTTTCTGGCTGACCTGATTGAGAAATACTTTGTCTCACCAACACTGTTCAGGGTGATCCGTCTGGCTCGTATCGGCAGGATCCTGCGTCTCATCAAGGGGGCCAAAGGAATCAGAACTCTTCTGTTTGCCCTTATGATGTCACTTCCTGCCTTGTTCAATATTGGCCTCCTTCTTTTCCTGGTTATGTTCATTTTCTCCATCTTTGGAATGTCTAACTTTGGCTATGTGAAATACGGGGCTGGAATTGATGACATGTACAATTTTGAAACCTTTGGCAACAGCATGATCATCCTGTTTATGATCACCACGTCTGCGGGATGGGATGGCCTTCTGCTGCCTATTCTGAACTACCCTCCGGACTGTGACCCCTACTTGGAGAACTCTGGGACCCCTGTTACGGGAGACTGCGGCAACCCATCGGTGGGCATCTTCTTCTTTGTTATGTACATCATCATTTCTTTCCTGATTGTAGTCAACATGTATATTGCCATCATCCTGGAGAATTTCAGCGTGGCCACAGAGGAGAGTGCAGACCCACTCAGTGAGGATGACTTTGAGACCTTTTATGAAATTTGGGAGAAGTTTGACCCAGATGCCTCCCAGTTCATCACCTATGCCAAGCTTTCTGACTTTGCAGATGCACTCGAACACCCACTCCGCGTGCCCAAGCCTAATACCATTGAACTGATTGCAATGGACATGCCTATGGTGAGTGGAGACCGCATACACTGTCTGGACATCCTCTTTGCCTTCACCAAGCGTGTGCTGGGTGACAGCGGCGAGTTGGACATGTTGAGGCAACAAATGGAGGAGCGTTTCGTGGCTGCCAATCCTTCCAAGGTCTCTTATGAGCCTATCACCACCACTCTGAGACGCAAGCAGGAGGATGTGTCTGCCAGAATCATTCAAAGGTCCTACCGCTCCCATTTGGCCAGTCGGGGTTTTGTTTGTAAGCGCAAACCAGCCAATAACAAAGACGAGAATGGTGGTAACAATCAGGAACAAGAAAAGAAAGAGGGCACTCCCTCAACTGCCTCCCTGCCTTCTTATGACAGTGTAACCAAACCTGAGAAGGAGAAACAGGACGACAACAATGAGGGCAAAGGGGGAAGGAAAGAGAAAGGAAGAAACCAAAAAGACATCAGGGAATCCAAATGTTAGGCCACTGGATGTATATTCACAGTAATAACAAAAAGATGATACTAATGCGAGCGGAAACTCACCAACACAGTTGTACAGATTATTTCATTTGCAAGTCAGAAAAAAAAAGTCTTCAGTAATTTTGTTTACAGACTTCATTCTTATATTGATGCAGAGAGAAGCATCTTGGTCTGTTACAGCTTGAAGACTTGAACTTTAGTCAAACCAAACATAATCAGCATACTGTGCGACTCTGTATCTGGACTACTTAACAAAAAGTCAATCAAAACAGACTGCGTCCCATACCGCTCACGTATGACTGGTCTTACAGATAAGTTGAGCAAACTCTACACCAAGAGGTGAAATGGAAAAAACAACAACAAAAAAATCACGCGTCTGGATGCAAGGAATGGTTTTCTTATGGAAGACAGTACTGTGAAAGACAACAAGGATGCTGCTCGCTGCTCAAGAAACGCCTTCTTGCAGCAGCCACAGAGTGTTTCTGTGTCGTTTAATACAGAAATGTATAAAGGAACAAATGGCACACTCACTCTATGAGCAAACAGAAGGTGAGTGAAAGACACAAATAACAGTGTGAACTACTTTTTTGTTTTATTGAGCTAGAAATTGTTTTCGTTTTGTTTTTTGAGCAGCGAAAATGCAAACAGAAGAAAAAAAAAGAACAATATCCAACAAGTTTGCCCATGTCAATCAACTCTTCTACTCATTTTATCTTTGTTATAATCCACATCGAAATCCTTTTTTTAACATGGGCTTTCACACCAAATTGAGTAAGTGTCTGTTTATTATGGAGTCAACTCGGGCCAAGGGCTTAACATTTACTCAGAAAGATTTCCAAACAAATAATAAGTGTGCTTGTTCAATGCATAGAAATGACTTGCATGATGGCATGTTTTGATCAGAAATCTTTGCATGAATTATCATAGTCCACAAGACACTAATACTCAGACCACGACGGTGGCTCGACTGTACGATCAAGACATGTTCGAAATTTGAAAGTTCAGAGTAATTTGTTCCACGAAGATAAGCGATGTGGGGAGGGGGGGGTTGATCAGCTTAAAATGGATCCAAATTTTAATCTCATTACTCAGCACATTTCAAATTACTGTTTAAACCTGTTGTCTCTATAGATGGAAGAATGATATATGTCGGGAAATGATAGCACCGTCAGTCCATCAGTGGGTGAAATAAAAAATAAATAAATAAGTAAATAGTTGCTGCTTTGGAGATTTTGAGTGTGTAAGATTTAGAGAGAGATATTTGTGTGTGTCATGGGACTGAAATGTTTGTTAATTTGGACAGAAATACAGTATTTTCAAGGGCACAGCACTTTGAAATGAAAAAAAAAGAAGCTTATATTTATAATTTGTATGCACCTATGTAATGCTCCATACCATCTGCCTTTATTTTTGTGTAATCGGGCATTGTGGGTATCCTGCTGTCAGTGGTTTGTGGGGATTTCACAGGTTTGGCAAACTCCTTTCTATTTCTAATGTTTCTCTGTGGGTGGTTAGACCTTTTCTGATAGGGCTGACAAGAGTTTTGATCCTTGTTAGGTTAATTTATTTACACAAAATGTAAATGTATGTATCTTTTGTTGTTGTTGTTGTTGTTGTTGTTATTTTCTTTCAGGATATAATTTCCATGTCTTATTTTGTGCTTTTACTTTTAGAGAAACGATCTTGTGATGAGACATATTAGTAGTATCTTATTTTGTTGAGAAATGGGAAATAATGAATGGGTGATGAGAACATTGTGCGTGGAGAAGCCAAAGAGACCTGCCTTGTTATCCCTTGTTGCCCTTTGTCCATGGAGTGGGATTGGGTTAAGTATGCCCTGCCCAGTCTGTTTTCTCGCTGTTGTTATTAGACAGAGACCCTAGAAATGTATGCAATGCTTGAAAAATTCATCCCTTTTTCTCAGGAGATATTATAAATGTACTATTATGAGCTCTGCAACAAAATGCAAGTGAATGTGATGGGAGTATTTATGAAATCATGTTTTACTCTTTTGTTTTATGCCATGTTGATGGACGATGATCTCGGCTGGCTGTTGCGTTGCTGACAGCCGCCCGGTCAGGGGCCACTTTAGTGCTTCCTGCTTACGATGCTTAGAACTATAGGGCTAGAAGCATCTCGATGAAACGGCGTCATTGCGCTCGCTTGTAATGGTGACGTTTATATGAATAGTCATTATGGACTGCAGTCTGGTCTCAGTTAATTTCAGTAAACAAACTAATGTTCACCCTGATAGCAGCCAGATATAGGAAACACTGTGAGGAGATGTCATGAAAGTGAATTGGGACACGTTGGTTTGAGCAGCACTCTTAATTCCTTCTGAAGCAGAAGGGGATTGTTCAGTGGATCGGCCCAGATTTCAGTATTCACCAACAACAAGTGCTCCGAGCATCTCATTTGCCATGTTTTTCTCCCTATTGCTCTACTGCATAACAAATACCAAATAATCAGGCAGAGCACTGGATGCATCTTTACGGTGCTGTGAGCCTAGGCACCACACCAGAGCTTATGCACTTCCTGTCGTCCAGTGATGTCACTACCCGTTTATAAGCCGCTCCCAACCCCTCCTCATCCGTTTTCAAGTTCCATGGTCCAGTTGCTGCATGAAATCTCCAAAATCAGTGTGGGTGTTACCTTGAACCAAATAAAAAACGCTGAATGACAAACGTAAAAGCTACTGCCGTCCATTTTCTCCGAGACCTCCACGAATACGAGATTGACAGGAAGAAAGAGGGAAAATAAAAAATCGATACACATACATCCATTTGGGGAAAAAAAGAAATAAAATTCAGGCTTCGTTCTATAGGGCACAAACTGCAAAAGCTAAGACTGGACTTTTTAAGAGGCTATAAATAATGTATTATATTATTTTAACAGCATGTGTAGTTTTTTTGTAAATACAGGATTACTTAAAAAAAGAAAAACTACAGCTATTAATCTAACACTAAATATTAATAACCATAAATAGAATGGCTTCCAGCTGACACCCCTTGTCACACTTGTTAGGCTGTGACGCATTTGTTAGATGGAATAGGTTTTCTCTTTATTTCGTTCTTTTTTGATTCACATTTCACAAAAAAGAGGGAAGTAAGCTAATCTATATTTAAAAAACTGATTGTAATAAAAACTGTATAAATTCATATGTGCATATACAGAGCTATATTACATATATATTATATATATATTCTACCATTATATATATATATAGTATATATACATTAGAACAGTGTCTGTAACTCAACTCTCCTGTCCACTCCTTGCATTGAGGTGAAACCAGAGCCCCAGAGTGTAACTGATCATGCTTCTTTCTTTGTGTGGTATGTTCAGAGAAATAACCAAAACTCTGGCCTGCCCAGGACTTGTGCATACTGGGTACCAGCGTACAATGCATGGTGTTGTACTGGCTGCTTGCTGAGAAATGTGGAGCCTGCCTTGGTTAGAGGATTGCACTACCAGCATACCCTTTTGTATATGTGTGACGATGTCTTGCCCCTACTTTCCTATATTGTAGACACAAGGTTAAACGGATTCACACACACGCACACTAACACCCTCGCACATGCGCACACAAACACGCACACTCACACACACACTCACAGCCTTTTTGCAGGCGACTGCTGGTTAACTCGTGTGCCCCGACTACGAGCCACAGCTCACTCTGTGTGACGATTTCTTTTGCTTGTTGCAACTCTAACCCTCCATGTTTCCCGTTAACACACTGCTGTAGTTTTGGAGCTCACCTTTAATTTCGCTGTCACTTTCAATATGATATAATAATAATGATTTTAAGGGTTAGTTGTCTTAACTGTCTGTGTGTTTGTTTATGGTGCAATATCTCTTAACGGCACGTGCCTTTTTAGCTTTCTATTTAGTCTGTCGATAAATCAGCAATGAGAATCTCAACACCCATCGAAGTGAATCAAAACGGAGCACGATAGACGCAATGTATTGAGTTCGTAAATAACCTGAACTGAAAAACTCACCACCTAGATTAGACTGTCTGGACTAACATCTTGTAGAGTCATGTAGTAGAAGTGCTCTCTGTGTGTTCTGTTTACTGGCTCTCGGGCTAGCAAAAGAACAGCTTGCCTTTTGTTTTACACTACAGCTCATTTCCTAATGTTGGTTTACCAAATGGTATATGAGGCCATTCTTTTGTAGCATGACTGAGATACATTTCTTTTCTTTGAAACTACTTTAACTGAAAAAACCCTTTTGACTGTCATTGTCTCTTGCCACTAATACAGTCAGAAAGATAACACGTGTCGCACAACCACATTGGAAGTTAAATGAGAATCAGTGAAAGAATGTCTTCATTTGAGCACGAATCTATTTCCAAACAATAAAGCAGCCTTCCAGTTATTCCTCTGGCTGGTGTCATTTTTGGTTCTACAATGCATGGTTCTCATACAAAGTCTGACGATGTATCGCTGCATCATAATCTGTGTTATCTATTTAAGAAAATTACTGACACTTTAAAGAAGGTAATTTTGTTTGTTGCTGATGATCACAAAAATTGCAAGGCAGGGAATGTGTGCAGGTTGCAGTATACAGGGAGGGACAGAGACTACATTAAAGAACTCTGTAGTTTGTGTAGTTGTGAGAACGAGAACACAGCCTTCCTGCAGGAGTACGCATATGACATCGTTTCTGTTTGTGTTACCTGAATGCGACTCTTTGATCTGCCGTGTTTTGGGTGTGTCACGGTGAAACTGTAGTAAGATGGCAGGTGTGTGCTTGCATGTGCCCCCCCCCCCGCCCTCCTCCTCCGTGTGTGTAAGGTGGTGCACTGAGTGAGGCAGGCGGGTGGTGGGGCGGGGAGGAGAGAGACAGCACTGCAGTGCAGATAGATGAATGCAGTGGCCTGGGCTGAGTCAGCAGCATGTTCCCAACAGGCTCAGACTGTACAACTCGCTGCATAGCGCCTCCTTGCCCACAGCAAGCAAAGCAGAGGGATCTACTTCAAGAAGATGAGGAGCACATGAGAACAGTGAACATATGCACACGCGAGTGAAAAGCAAGTCGGCCGCCGAGGATGGAAGCGTCACCTTCTGCCACACATGCTGCAACTGTCTGAATCGTGCATCTTGCAGACCACTGCTACTGCCATTTTAATAACAGAGTGTGCGAAGCTTATTTCCACACTGTTTCTCTAAATCTGTTGCTTCCCTCTGTAGATGTTGTAAAATAACCCAGGTGCATTATAATACTGTACAGTGCAGAGATTTTGTTTCATTTCTTCTCTTTAGGTTTCTGTCCTTGCATCCTAATGTATAGAAGTGCATCGCTGCAGAGGTAGGACGTGGATTAAGTAGAACATTGGTCTGATCTGTCAGGTTGTGTGTTGTGGGAACAGATTTATGAAGGAGAGAGGGAGGCTGTGAGTGTCTGTAAGGGGTTGCACGGAAAGGGATTCAGCTGTAATCTGCAATATCTCCTTCACCAAATGTGGGCGAGGACTTCTTTTTCATATAAGAGATTTGTTTGTCAGCTCTGTCAACTTCCAGCTTTCCTTGCCCTTCTTGCCTGACTGAAAAAAGACTGATTGTAAAACTGATATTTAAAGCTCAATTTGGCTGTTTTTACTCCCACTCACTGATTTATTAATAGAGTGCAGCACCCTCTCTCCCTTCTGGGTTTTGTTTTCCATCCCTGCCCCTGTCTGCAAATATCACAGGCTTTGACTACTGTATTTATATCTGTAAAATCTCTAGATGGCTTTGGCATACTTCAAATGCCTTCTTACAGATATCTACCACCCTCTAGTGGGCTTTGTTGAAACACCACTTCCACAGATTTAGGGATGGGTAAAAGTTAATAATATAAGGCACTATAAGTTACTTTCTGGTGCTCTTATGGTGTATGCCGAGATGTTATCTCTCAGGCTGTTAATCCAGCAGTTCCCCATCAAGATGGGATCTTGCCAAACAAAATGAAAAGGAGCAAGTGGAGCCCTGGCAGTCATCTCCAATAGCTTCACAGACAAATTATTGGGGCAAAATTATTTAATTGTTTTCTTTTTTAAATGTTTAATTTTGTAAAATTCAATTAAAAGATTAAATGTAACTTTTCATTTTGAAATGGCTCATTTTTGTGGGGACTTCTCACAAACATTAGATATTTAATGTTTTTTGGCTCTAAAGAGAAATATAGCCTCTTCTAGAAGAACTACTCATTTCATAATTTTAACACTAACTTTTTCACTTGACTGTCTGAATTTCAAAGTAAGTTTGACCATATGTGGTTCAGGAAAACCCAAAAAAGGTACACTTGTCCTACTGCACAGGTCTCTACTTGGACTGAAGGAGGAACTCTGCAGACTTCTTTGGAACTGAAGAAACTAAAATAACTGGATGATCCAAAGGAGAGAGTAATAAAATGGATAAGCATAATGTATTTGCAGTTACTACGTTGTATTTTTCTCATTCTTTTAATGCAAAACTTTTAATCACAGTCTGTGCTTGCCATTCTGCAGCCATGCGTTTGGTTAATTAACATACTTTTACAAATAAAGCCAGACAATAACCGAAAAGAAATGATATAAACTGAACTTGCAGGAGTGATAATGCAACGATTAACATTCAACGTGGTGAGAACCATCTCGAGGGGACCCTGTAGGTGTCACTGTTATACTTGTTATGTGGTGTAGCTGCTGCAGTGTGAGTGTCATTAGAAGGGCAGAGACAGCAATTCAAAACAGGGGTCATGTGCTGATTTTTCTTTTTGCGTTTGCTGTCTTATTCCACACCTGTGATCACAACTGAGATCTCAAATGCGGAGACATAACTAAGTCAGGTTAATAATTTCACTGATTTTAATGCTAAATGTGAGACATAACATAGCTGAATTGAAATTGTTAAATAGGAACAGAGGTTAGCTTTATCGTAGATGAATGGACTAACAGTTGCTGTCAGGAATATGGTTTAAGGTGTGTTAAAATACAATCCTTAATCAGAAGCAAAACAAAGAGAGTTTTGCTGTGACATGACTGACGTTGCAGCAGGGCGAGACTTACTGTGGCTGAGAGGACAAAAATTGTCTGTGACATGTCAGCACAGGCTCGCTGTTCTCTCTCACTCTCTTGAGCTCAAGTACATGACATAAATGATGATAAGGTTTCCTACAACTTGAAAAATTACAAAACATTAAAATATCAATAGAGCGCACACTACTGATGAAAGAGGAGACTTGTATTGAAAGGCAGAAGAAAGGTGATTTAGGTGGCTTTAAACGTGGTGTGTTTGTTGACAGATAAGCTGGTCCGAGTATTTAAGAAAACTGCTGATCTTCTGGGATTTTCCCACATGAATATCTCTAGGGTTTACAGCGAATAGTCAGGAAAACCAAAAATATCCAGTGTGTGACAGTTCACTGAGCAAAAATGCCTTGTTGATGTCAGAGGAGAATGGCCAGACTGCTTTGAGCTGATAGAAAGGCAACAGTAACTCAAATAACCACAACCAAGGTATGCAGAAGAGCTTCTCTGAATGCACAGCTCATCGAATCTTGATGGGCTACACCAGCAAAAGACCACCATGTGTCAGCTCAGAACAGGCATCTGAAGCTACAGAAGATGGGAGAAAAATGTTATTTGGTCTTATTCAGATGGTAGATTCAGAGTTTGGCGTAAACAACATAAAAACATGGCTCCATCCCACCCTGAATCAGTGCTTTCTTTACACTGGTGGTGGTTGTATGACCCATCCATCCGTTTTCTTCTGCTTTTCTATATCAGGGTTGTGGCGTGACTGCAGCTTATTATCCTTTACATTTTGGTTATTCTACACAAAATCTCAAACTGGTTTCTTGAGCACAAGAATACCTTCACAGTACCAGACAGAATAATGAGCAAGGTGTAACTAATGAAGTGGTCGGTGAGTGTGTGCTGGGTTTTGAAGGTTCATTTTCAGAATCAATTCCTTTTGTCTTCCAATGTGTATCTAATGCATCTGATGGTTTGGTGATTTATTCCTACAACAGGACAACGACTTAAAGCACAACTGCAAATTACACAAGAACTATTTAGAGGTGAAGCAGTCAGCTTCTATCTCTAATGAGTGACCAGCACAGTGACTGGATCTTAACCCGGATGAGCTGCTGTGGGAACAGCTTAACCGCGTGGCAAACAAGAACTGCCCATCAAACCAATGCAACTTGTCAGAGGCTTTGCAGAAACTGTGGAGTTAGATACACCCGAATCAAATAACAGAGTAAGAAAAGTCGAACGTTTCCTTAGCTGATTTTAAAAGAGAGACAGAAAGTAAACAGACGCTTTTTCCGAGCCAATACTTTCTTTAACTGTACGTCAACTTAATGTCACTTTGCGAAGAGAAATATGCCACTGCCAGGCTAAAATATCACATTGAACCCAGTAAGTATATTTACTGCAGTAACCCATCATCATCATAGCATCATTTAGTGAAAGATCAGTACATTCAAACCTTAAAACATTTTTAATTTCCACAGACAAAAAGAGAAAACTCAAATATTTTTCTTTTTTTTTTTTGGTATAATATCTTCATTTCCATGTCACAACAGTCTCTAGTGAGGTAGACTACAACAGGTCAACAGTTTGAAACGCTGGTCTTTAAACTGGTATGTGAAATGACATGAAATAAATACTTCCATGTACAAGGTCTTCAACATGAGGTAGAAACGGTTACAGAGAATGTACAAGATACAAGAAAAGTACATGTGAATCACAAAGATAACAGTGAAGTCTGATTTTCCATCTGCGAAGGCCAACACTGACTCCACCCCCTTCACTGAATCAGAGTAACACAAAGAAAAGGCAAATGCTTCCCACAATGTGTCTTTTGAATGCAGAGCACATCCTGTGTTGATTCACTTGTTGTAACCAAATACTTGTAAAAACCTGGGGTAAGCATAAATCATGATTTACTTAGCACCGCTTTCCTAATCTGAATTTCTTTTCTGGTGAGCTTCTACTTTTTCCCCTTAAACCGCATTCTGAGTAAGATAGTAAAAAAGCACTAAAATGGCTTTTAATTACACTGAATTTCCAATTAGTAAAATTAAAGGGGAATCCATTCACTTTAGATTTGAAGTTCAGCTTTGTAACAACCTAGACATCTCAAGCTCATGTTTCATTTGCCCTCCTGCTTCCACTTAAACAGATTTCTACTTTAAACTGCCAGTTGTGACCAATCACACCTGTTTGTGAATCACCGCATGTGATTAAGAACATTTCTGCCAATTTATGACACCAGAGTTTCACTTTCACTCTGGTGGCTTGTGGCTCTATCCAGTTGGGTTTAGAGGTGCTTAAGGGTCAAAACTGAAGTAAGAGTTTCCTGATTCGTTCATTTAATAGGCTTTTTTTTAAAATTAGAGGTTGGCACAGTTCATAAATCAGTGGCATAGCAGAGCAGCAAAGCCCCAGTGCGCTGACAGTGTTGGTATTCAACTTAATTCAACTTGAAGTTAGGGCTAAATTCAAGCTGAATCAAGTGGTTTTAAAATACTGAAATGGTGACTGGATACTTTATTAAGACATTTAATAAAAATATCGCCTATACACCATATACTGTAGTGTGTGTACATCTTGATATGTGTTTATCAGGAGTGCTTTTCCTTTTCCCCACTGCTAACTACACTAACACTTGACATGCCAATATTTTCTCCACCAAAACCTACTGGAGACTTACATCTATACGTGGAAAAAAAATAGATCTACAAACATCATTGATGTACGTATGGCATGTCTTTAAAAAAAATATCTGAATTACATTCAACATTTCAGGCCTTGATATAAAAACCTCGAGTTTCCCGGAGCTAAGAAACCATGTAGTGTTTTGTGTGTGTGTGTGTGAACGCATGTACATGTGTATGTGCACGTGTGCGTTCACACTATTAAAAGGCCTTAAAAGTTCATTGTTTCCCTGAAGTGTCAGCCATGGCATCGTTTTCATCTTGCTCCATTAAAGCTCCCCCACCGACACCCTAAGGTATCAACATACATTCGTAGTTCATCTTTCTGAGGTAACAATATTCTTCCTGAGTATTCAATAACACGATAAATCATCCTTCTGACAGGCAAAAGTAAAGAGAAAAACATATAAAGAAGTCAAATCTAACGACAAGCAGGTAAATTTTAACAAAGTATGTAGCTGAATAAAACTTTTAAGAGGCACTCGCTCAGACGCATATATCCTCTGCTGCAACGTGTGTGCCTGTGCAGCCACACTGAAGCAATAATGAGCTTTTATGTAGCTAACCTGCACTGAGTACATCTTCCCAGTATGTACAATCATCTATGTTTTTCCATTGTACAGTCTGAGATAAAGTTGGGTTAAGGATTAGCAGAAATATCTGTGTGAAGAAGATGCTTTTAAGATGATTGAGCCATACTTGATTTACCCATACTGCGACTTTATGAAGGCTAAATACATTTTCAATGGATTTTCATGAATAAAAGCTATTTAAAGTATTTCCCTACTTCAAAAAAAGAAGAAAAGAAAAGAAAAGAAAAACAAGACAGTTCACCTGCAAATCCAATATATGTATTTTTCCCTCTGTTGTCTAGTGCTGTTCATCAGTCTGGATTCTTCAGGTGTGAGTCAACAGTTGTTAACTCTGCATTATAAATAATAGGACTAAATAGCGATGGCCTTGTGATGCTCAAAATAAACAAACAAAGAAGAAACAAACAAACAAACAAACAAACAAAAAACACCTAAAAAAACAAGCATCAATGTTTTACTGTGGCCAGTTTTCAGTAGGGACTATTTTACATCTGTCTACATACACCAACCAAAAGTAGTGTGTAGCTAGCAAACACCCATCTTGCCATGGGCAGATGCATGGACCACAAGGCAAGTGCCATTTAATTCCATAATTCCAACTAAACTCTAAATTAATACATTGCAGGAAAAATACATAATTTTGATTCTGAGGTCAACTGCCTGTCAAGAAAAGAGTGGCGTCATGTATATTATGACATAATTACGCAGCATAAGCAGCTTGATATCTATAAATGAGACAAAAATGGTAAGTTGGTGAGCAAGGAGAATAATTAATCAGAGGACAAGAGGTCCAGGATAGAAGATAAACATGGAGATAAAAAAAAAATCTAAACAAAAGAAAAGTGAAATGAAACCTGAAAACATTCATTTCTCAAGGCCAAGCCAAGCACAAAGACTTGCAGCCAGCAGTGTAGTCGGGATTGTGCTGAAGTAGTATGGCATTCTCACCACTTCAGTTATTGCTCTTTTTACTTTTTGGTCATAATGATTTTTTTATTATTAATTTTTTTTTTGGTTTTTGTGGTGCGATAGAGCATATTGCAGTCAAAGGCCTTTTAAATACATAACGGCCACAAACAATTACACCAACTCCAAAAACAATGTTGCAGTGCTGTTGCCACAGTAGCAGAAAAGGGAATAAATAGGATCCTGAGAGAAACAGACACGCGTACATTTAGACTGTCTTAATGATATCTATGTAGCGAATGCCTCAACCTCACTCCTAAGACTGACCTCAGCCTTACAGGGCAAAACGCCTCTGTGAATCTTTGGGAAAACATGATAAACAAAAACGTTAATGTACAGGAAACACCGGTCCTGTAGTAGGGAAATTAAATGTTTCATCGACAAATTCAATGTTATTTCCCCGAGTCTGTCAGGGTTAGGAACCCTGGGTGGTTTTTAAGGAGCAAGGGAATCCTTCAATATGCCAACCTGGTCTGTTAGTGCCCTCCAGTGGGGTCCTCAGAGTGTGCGTGAGATGCAGATATCTTCATCTGCATTCTCTGCTGCTGAGGAAAGCTGTGCTCCCCCGATACACTCTCTCCCGCTAGGCCTGATGGCGGGCTGTACTCCCCTGCCCTGACGTAAGGGGGTGATATGAGGGGCTTTCCGGATTTGAAAGACTGTGCATCTGAGACGGGCACACTCATATCATAACCATTGCCATGCCCGTTGTCGGAAGCTTTGTTGTGACTGTTCCCGTTGCCATATTTTCTATAGCGAGATCCTTCCACCTCTGCTCCCTCTTGTCGTTCCTCTGTCATTTCAAAGGCCTTGCGTTTCAGAGGTACACCTGTCTCGAGCGTCCCTCCAAGGCTGTGAGATGGGTAGTTGTAAGTCCCCCCCACCATGGTAGGCCTAGGGGCCAGAGGAGTGGGAGCGCTAATCCCAGACGGCAGGTAGGACGCACTGGGGCGGCTGTATCCCGAGGACAGGCTGGTTTGGGGGTAGCACCCTGGGGGGTAGTTGTAGACAGGTGGGCTAGGGCTGTAGTTGGACACTAAAGTAGGTGGAGCCTGCAAAGAGTGTAGAGGGGTTGGTGGGAGTGCTGCACTGGGCTGAGGGCAGTATCCTGAAGACAAGTAGGTGCTGTTGTAAGCAGGAGGGTATTCCTGAGATGATGGAGCACTGCACGAGCCAGCACCACTAAAGCCTGGCTCAGGGGCCAAATTACTGCTCACCACTGTTACACTTCCTGTAGTCGGGATCCCCACAGAGGCAGGGGCCACCTTGGTGCCAGTGAGTGCCTCAAGTCCAGGGTAACAGTCCATGCCTTGAGCCAGAGTCCAGGGCTCAGAGTCTGATTTTAAGAAAGTCCCATGCTCTGCGTAAGCTCCCGTAGCAGGGCGGTCCAGGCCTGAGTACTTCTCAGCGTAGCGCTTGAGCAGAGAAGAAGCACTAAGGGCTGATATGTTGTCACTGGCCCAAGGATAACTTGTAGGGGCGTAGCTTCGGCGAGGACCTGTAGCGTAGGGGTCGTGCTTGTGGGCAGACGGTGGCGAGGTGGTGGAGGTGACATCTAAGTGCTGTTCAGGCCACTGAGATAAAGGGGCGGCGTGCTCCGGAGACCAGTGCATCTTTAACAAACCTGACAAACAAGAACAAAGATGTTATTTCACATAATCTCAGAATAATAACCCTGATCAGATAACATTTCTACACCTACTTTATGGTATTTAGCTCTTCACAGGGATTCCAATTTCTTCTAAAGAAGACAAGATCTTATATCTGCCCTCATAATCACCTTGCAACGCTGGCTCTTTTCCACAGTTTTGTCAATGCTTAGCCCATGTCCTTCTAAACAGTCTCTACCAGGCGGAGGCCAACTGCTCTAATCTGTATGAGAAGCTGCCAACATAGCCCCCAGCCTGGTCTCCACGGCGATAAGCCTCTATCAGCCTGCACACTGCCCTCTGCCTTCGTCTCTCTCACATTGGGGCCATTGTATTTTCTCTTTGAGTCTCTTAGCCCACAAAGCCACCCCCACCAAGCGTGTGATCTAATTCGGCCCAAACCTCAGGGGTCTGCTGGACGAGGGGGGGGTCACTGGCGAGGTAGACTGGCTTTTCTCCAAATTACACAGAGACTGTCCCACTAGCATCTATGGACACTGAAGTGTGTGTCATTAGTGAAGTGACTGACTGATGAGTGAAAAATGACGGATTTTTGATTACACACGCACATTTGCACAGAGTAATCCGCTGGTTTAGTGGCTCAGGGTTTGTCTTTTTGAACTGGCATTAAGCTGACATTCCACACATTGCAGAGTATTACTAAAGTGTCCTGACCCCAGGCTTTGACCAGAGGGGCTTCCTTGCAACCACTGGACAGCTTTATTGATTTCTGATACTGCATCAATATACAGTACTGGACAAACATGGTACCATCCTACGGGCACTGGCCATTTACTTGTTGTGTCACATCAAGTTATCACAGTCTAAATGTTCGAAGAAAGTCTAACGGAGATGTTGGAACAAGATAATAGTTTCTGCTGTGTAAAACCTGAACCATGAAGTAACTGCAAGAAAAACTCTAATTTTGTGAAACTGTATTTTAGTGAACATCTAACAAATTTTTAAAAATAAATTATATATCAGTTTGCATATGCAGGTTTTGATTTGTATCATGTTTGCTACATCTGACATTTCTGTGCAATGTATTGCTTAAAAATGAACTTCTGTAATTTATTTAGGTTTTCACTCATGTCTGGTCTGAAACCGTCTGCAAGTGGATTATACCAGGTTGGGTCATATGTCCACACGGACCACCAGATGGGTCGCTAAACGGTCCACACGTTGATCCCTAAATTAAATGATCCTTCAGCCTAATAATCCCTCTCATCCATTCCAGGGATAGCAAGTGCTCTTGTCTGGCACAAGCTCCACCCTTGAGCTGAGAAATCCCCACGCTCCAGGGAATTCTGACCCGTCACGGTGCACAAAAACATTACACATTCAAAACAGCAAACACAGGCATCAAAACCTACCTAAACAAAATAACTTGACCTAACCCTGAGAATTATTAGTCATACACCTGTACACTAGACAGACTCGTATTCTGTTTAGTTCTGAGTGTGGGTTTTTAAATAGTATTTCACAAGCCCCAAGGGAGTAGGGGTCGTCTAAGCCTCTGTGCCTGCTGTGTTGTGAATGATATTCCATATTTCTATACAATGCCAATGAATGACTCAGTCTTTCATGTCAACATCAAATCCCCCAAAATGTATCTGAAGGAGATTAAGGGATAAAAAAAGAGCACTTGTGAGGAAGAACCCCTGTTTCCGGGGTGTTTGTTACTGTCATGTTTTTAAGGTCATTCACATTAACAGAACCACAAGTGTGAAAAGTTTATATATGTGTGTTGATAACGGCTCTACCGAGATCTCCACTTTGTCGTATTTGAATTCATAATCTTGATGCTCCTCGATGGCAAACTTTCAATTTGATTTTTTGGAAAAATGTGAGCAATTGCTATAGTTACCTAATAGAGAGACAGATATTTTGTGCTTGATTTCTTTAGCAGGTTTGCACTAGTTGAACTGACAAGAACTTAGCTGAAGAGAGCACAACTACTCGATTACATGCTAATTAGTATACTGTACTTAATGATTGCTTATTTCTTGAGCTGCTTCATCATAAGCTGCCATTTATTTTATTTTCAACATGTGAGCTCTTCATTTTCCTTTGTGTCTACTTAGACTTTACTTCACTTTGTCTTTTTTCAATGTGAACAAACTATATGTTACTTGCATGCTTAAAATATTTGATAAATCCAAAGGAAATTTACAACCAATTTCTGATTTCATGGCAGACGAACAGCTAAAAGAAACAAAAGAAAAATAAATAAATATGACCCAGTGTTTGATTTATGTCTGCATAGAAGGAGTTTATAAGAAACTGCTCACAGTAGGCTCAACACTACAAAAGCACTAGTGCAAATGGGAAGTGCAAATACAATCAGTTCAGTTTAATTCAATTCAATTCAATTTTATTTATATAGCACCAAATCACAACAATGGTCACCTCAACCGCTTTATATTGTATGAGCAAGCACTTGGTGAGAAGGGGAAGGAAAAACTCCATAGGTTGTCCTTTCTCGTATGTAGCACAGAGCAGGGGACAGTGTGTGTCATTTGTGTTCTCACATCTGAAAATACTCTGGGCTACCATGGCTCTCACTGAACAACAGCTCAGAGAGGATCCTATGATCCTATATTGGATCAGCGGAAGAGGATGGATGGTTGTTTTTGCCAATCCTACTGAGAATCTGTGTCCCGCTTTGTAAAGCTTCCAGCTCAATACTGCATTTTTCTTTATTACATATAAAACTATTAAACAAGATTACTGACATATGTGTGAAGATAATCTGCAATGTGAGATTTTTGGCATTTTTAAAAAAATGAAATGGCTTCATGGAATTATTCTCATATAAATTCATAGCTGGCCAACATCAATGACATATAGTGGTGGCCATCAGTGTGGTATTCACTGATCATACTGATTGCAGGCATGTGGCAACCATTTTTCCATGTTGTCTTCAGTCTAGTTCTCTAACGACATCTCCACCACTGGCTCTATAATTTAGCCAAGGCTCATTTGAGCGCGGTGATCTACTATTTCTGGAACCTTCACCAATTTTGGCAAAAGGAATTTAAAACCTGAAGACATGGAAAGATCCCCCTGAGATGAGAAGATGAAGAGTTAACAGGTGAGTCCATCTGTCAAGAACCAGACTGAGAAAAGTACCTGAGTTAATGATGGATTAGAGCACATGAGGCTTATGGGAGTGTTAGCGCGTGTTTAAGCTAACAGTCAGCTCCAAGAATTAAAGAAGCATCACTTGCAAACTCACTCTCAATCCTGGCGGTAACTTTCACAACATAACATAACACAAGTCTTTACATTACATTTTCAAAATAACTTCATAGTTATTTTTCATTCTCATCTCTTCATAATTTTCCAAATTAATAACATATGGCAGCTACATCAGGAAAAAAGTATTTTTATTCATATTTAGGCAAAAAAAAAAAAAAGATTCTTGAACTTTATTTTTGAAACACATACTTTTCAAAGAGTTTGTTCCATGTCCACTTAAAGCTGGACAACATGTGTTTTGACCTTTGAATTTTGTATGGAGTGACACATAAGTGTCCAATGTAGTGGTTTATGTGCAAGTGTGCCCTCAACACTGACACAAATACAAGAAAACAGCCTTTGAATAACTGTCCAATGTAGTGACCACAATGTGCGAAAGGGTTATTGAGTATATTTCATTGCTTATTTATATATTCTGTATTTATATAGGTATATATTTGCTATATTTATGCATATTCTCTTTTTGCTGTTTATTTTTTACTCTAACTTCTTACTATGCAAATTTCTGTTGGTGTTCTGCTACTGGAAACATAATTTCTTTAAGTAATCTTCAGGAAAAGTTCTCCATTCTTCTTGCAGGACATTCAAAGCTTCTCACTGATGTTCATAATTCCATCAAGGCCTGTAAAAATACTTATGCCTAAATCTTATGCCTGGCTCTTTTGTCTTTGACATTTTTGTAGGTTTAACTAAAGAAATTGGAACAATGATGTGATTTTTATTGCAGGTTGCTTGCAACAAAGTGACTATAGATAGAATTTAAAATCAGTTCTTGAAGTTGTTTAATAAGTATAGACACAACACTGGTTCATTCCTTGAGTTTGGTGCCTTTTTATGACCGAACGATTCATAGGTCAGTGTTAAGTGCCTAAACAAACAAAGAAACATTCCTCTGAAAATGCTCAGGCCCAAGGACTGGACTGAAAATGAGTGAAAAAGCAGCCCATGCCCAAAGAAAAACTTTACAAAACCTCCAGAAAGCCTGAAGAGCTTTTGCTCAAGCCCACTTTGAAAATGACATGAAAGTCTGGCTCATGTCGATACACAGACTAGATCTACTTTATAATATTAATATTCCCGATAATAAGCTGGCTAGAACATTTCTGAGATGACTCAAAAACAGGAAAACAAAGTTAACTGCTATGCATGCAGGAAACGCTGACTCTTATGTTCAAAGGTGCATGTAACCAGAAATCTTTTGCAAACTAAATTGCTGTTACTATGACACCCCACTCAAGTCCTGTGTTTACATGTCTTTGCAATAAGAGACAATGAAACTGACTGAAAGCAGGAAGTCAAGTCAAGTCACACAAAAACGCACTGACCCTCAACCCCTATGCTTGCGTACTACATGAACTCAGAGTTCACTACACAGAAAAATGTGCCTTGCATCAGTGTGTAATCATGTGTGCTGTGTGTTTAAAGACAGCCAAAGACAAACACATAAGGTGATTCTAATCTGAGACAGATGAGTGCTTAAAGTGTATAGAAACGCATCTATGCACAGTTAAAATGTAACTTGTTCTCTCACCTGCTTTGAGTGGTCACTAAGACTGGATGCCTATAAACTCCAGCCGCATTGCTTTTTTGAATAAATGGTCCCCAGCCATCAACAACCACCACCGGAACCAGTTTCAGTGCTCTAATTTGGATGTGACTATTATAATGACTTGTACATTTCAAAAACTCTGACAAAACTGCTTGAATTTTTCTTTTCTGCAATTCTGCAACTCTGTGTGTCAGTGGAGGCTAGCTTGACTCCCAGTCCACTGCATGGTCAGTATGAGTAATTAGGGGTTAATTAGATGGAAGTATATGTGGGGGAAGGGGCTAGCTGAAATGAGATTTAGGGGGTTGTGAGGAATAAGAGATGGGTGACTGTCTGGATGGAGAGTGGACACAAAAATCACCCTTCTGCAGCTGTAGGGTCTCTGTAAGTGCTTTCAGTCCACCCACAATAAACAAAGACACCCCCTGAAGACGGAAAATCCAAAATACACACACACAAAAATGCACACACACAAGCTGCAGCAAACTACAGTCTTATATTGTGTTTTTTCCATGGAGGGTTCAGCTTCAGCTGGCCAGCACGCAGATGGACTCTCGGTCATTGGTTGAGTCAAGCTGCTGGAATGCCAGGAATCTAACCTGAGATCTATTTACAAAGCACATATCCTTTCCATGCACTCAGCACGCCTTGTCTATTCCCAGGCTAAAGGAAGCGAGGGAGAAAACACAAAGAGAGAACGTGATTCCTTACAGTGCTGACAAATGACCTTGTAGCCTGTTTGCACATTACTGAGTGATTTGTATTAGTTAGAAGTTGATTCATGCCACTGCCAAGATCAATACACATCAGAGGAGAAACGGTATACGAGTTTACAAGGAGAATGTCACGCCAGCTGAGATGAACAATAAAATGCACGCACTTTACCCATATATCCCTGTGTTTCAAGCTAACGGTATAAATTAGTGTTATAGTCCTGTGAGCACTGACCAAGAAAAAAAAAAACTGGGTGTGCAGTCAGTGGGAAGGAGAAGACCCTCCCTCCCTCTCTCTTCCTTTTATTTCCCCTTCCCCCTTTTCTCCAGGCCTTCAAACTACACCAGGCCATGCTGCTGTCAGCCAATCAAATACTGTACCAGGTCTGATTCTGACTTTAAACATCCCTAACCTGAAAGCTATTTGAAAGCTCCAAAGCCAAATGAGAAGATCAAACTATGCCAACCACAGAGTTTGACACAGTTTGATCTCTGAATCACGACACAGCTGGTTTCATCTCGATCATTTGAATCCTCCGTTCGCTCTCATTTAATTTCTCTTTTCTCTCACTCGCATTTTGTTCATTCTTCCTATCCCTCCTGCTATCTGCGCAATAGCAAAGACCAGACTCTGTCCCAGCCTGTGTGGTCAGTTTCCCTTCCCCCACTCCTCTAAGCTCACACACTCACATGTGGCAGAGGTTGGCCTGGCCCCTCTTTGCTTATTGTGTCCACTCATATATCAGGCTGCAGCTGACCAGTCCCTCCTTCTACATCTTCTCCATCTGTCCTTCACTTTGCTCTTTCTCTGTCGTTTTCCCCACCGGCGCCGCACATCTACACTATAACACCTAATAAGGAGCCGCGGCTTGTTGCACTTTCTTTTAACAAGCTTTTGCGATTATTAAGCAGGGCTGATGCATGCGTGTGGAGACAGAGGGTGATGTTTATGCGCCCCACTACAACAGCACTAATGAGAGGCTGTTGACACCAGGTTACTAACGATCTGGCTTTCATTCACAGAACTGCTTCACCCTGGTAACGGGCGGCTAAAACGCGCTAACGCCGCTCATCACTCTCACATTATCATCATTAAGGACAAACAATCGCAGTCACCCACACCTTAACGAGCTGTGATTGTTTCCTTATTTGTGTTTGGGAATTGATCTGAAATTTGTCAGTGTGTGTGACACGTGACTGGAGGTGGTGCGGTTGGGAGTAAAAAATAAAATGCCAGAATGTGAGCGTGTTTAGTTTCTATGAGTAGAAAACTGACACACTGCTGTGAGTTGCTTTTGAGGAAGGAATGTGACACGTAGATGTTACCAGAGCTTCTTTCTACACAGACAGCCCCATCGTTGTGCCTCGCGAGACGTCAGAGACGAAGTATCGTGACATTTTGCTGTTTGTTAGCTGCTGCTTCTCTGTGCAGTTGCTTTAGAATACACAAAACATTCAGCGGTAAATCCCTGTTGCATTATTCCAATCAGGTTAGTGTTGTAATCCTGTTAAAGCTGGTCCTGATCAATAAGCCGGTCAGTCAATACAGGTATATTTAACAGTCTAGATAGGAACCTCGCATAATCAGTACACATATGAGTAAGGGAGGGGCTATTCTGTGACATGTTTACATGATCTGAATATATTTTGCTTTTACATACTCAAGTAACAAACAAGTATTTTGTGGAAATGCCTTCCAAATGTGTCAACTCTTTACCACGTCTGGTAAAAATACAACTGGAGTTTATTCAGATTGAACATGTGTACTGCCCTAAACCTGAGACCTAAAGCCTGTTCAAGCACACATTCATTCTGCAAAATATGTGTGGCGTTTCTAAAAAGACAAACATCTGCTGTCTGTTTGGTCTCAAAAAACAGTGTCTGAACACTTTCTGTGAAATTCCTCAATGCAAAGCCTGGAGACTCAGCTGTTAAAGGCATCAGGGTATCTGCCTTCTCAACATGACTGCTCAAGAGATCCCCCTCCCTTCACCCCAGCAATTCGCTTCCCACTGCATATCCACAGGAGATGAGTTCTGGACAAAAGAGGGGCCTGAAGAAGAATGTGTACAGGAAAACAAACTCAAGCAGAACTGGAGCATGGTATGCACGTACAACATGATGCATTCATCCAATAAGTGTCTCCCAAATGCAAACCAAAAAAATTTAAGACTTACTGTATGGGGTGACAGGACTGAGCATTCTGCAGCCCTGGTCCCAGGTGAAGAGGAGAGGACCAGGTCCACTTGGTGCTAGTGAGGGCCCAGCTGCATGCTTCAGGGTCTTCCTGGGTTACCGCTGTTGCTTCTGCTGCTTTTGGCTGTACTGCTGCTGGTAAAGGCTAGTGAGTGGCCTCCTGTACTGCTTCATGGTTCATCTCATAGTTCAACACCACTCTGACACATTGCCACCTGAAGAATGCAAACAAGTCAGTGTCAGAGCCAGCAGACACCTTGTCCTGGTTTAATTGCTGTCGCTTGATTCTAATAGATTTTACGCAAATAATGATAATTAAAAATAAAAGTCATGCTTACTCGCTTACACCGTAGAGCAATATTAATATTCGTTTATTTTACTGCAAACCTTCTAACAAAAAAAGTAAAATATTTGTTGTCATGTAAGCTGTTATTGAGTGGTAATGAGCTTTGCACGTATTTTCATTGCGCTTGCTTTTCTGGTTCTTTCCTTAGCTGTGCGTACAGACACAAGCGCACAAGAGAGACTGAAAGTCGAACACTGACACAGCGCTTTACCCTGTGACTACAAGACGGTAAAGCACGGTTTTCATTATAAAACTGCAAACCAACAGAGGAAAGAGAACTCCATGCTGCCCTCTCTAATGCTGAATAGTTCAAGGAAATTTAGGGCAAAAAATGCGTCCAAAGTGCACGCACTTAAAGCAGGCACCAAACAGTCGACACAGAAGGCCAGCTAATTAGAGTTTAATACATATGAAGACAAGGGGAAAAGATGGAAGATAAATTGAAGTAATCTAAGTAAAAACGAAAATCACGACATTTACCGTAAGGAAAAGAGAGAACACCAGAAAGGACCGAAATGTGCAGGCAGCAGCGGAAACATTGTCATTACTGCTGAAGGGAAACCAAAATCTATTTTTTCCTAATAAGTGAGTAAATGGTTACAGACCTGACCATGCCTGGATTTGCCCGATGAGTGTTTCAGTTTGGGAAGTAATCCACTACTCCACAAATTGTAACAGAAGGTCTCTCGCCCTCTCTCTCTGCGTATGTGTGCATATGTGTGTGTGTATGTGTGTGTCAGTGTGTTTGAGCCTCTTCTGGGATCCTATCCTTTTCTCCTACACTCCCTCGCTCGCCCTCCAGCTCGCCCCCCTCCCCGCCCTCGCTCTCCCTCGCCTGGTGACAACAGAGCAGCGCACGCATCCCCTCCCCCAAGCACGCCACCCCTCCCCCTCCGTCTCCCTTCTCTTTTGTTAAAACTATTTCAGCAGGAAGGGAGAGAGAGGGAAAAAGTGACCAATCATGCAGTGTCAGAGAAGAGCCTATTTCCCCCCCTGCGGTGTGTGTGCATGCGTCTATGTGTGTCTCTGCCTGAGTGCACATGTACCATTTCTGCACGTGCGGATTTGGAGGATTGATAAGACTTGCATGGCTGGCTGCATGCTTTTGGTTACAAACCTTCAGTCTGATGAATGGGCATGTTGGGACACATGCAGATGTGCAAAAAAAAAATTGAATTTTCTCCTTCACTGATCACATGAGAAGTTCAGTTATTGCCAATGACTTTTATTGATCTGGTACATTGATCTTAGTGTTGTTTGTAAGGTGGGGGCTGAAATGGCCATGTCAGTATTACCTAATTCCTCTGGCACACCATCCCCCCACTATACACAAATACACACATTCACACAGTAGCCTGCACACATGCATGGACGGCAGCAAAACCTTTGGCCAAGAAGTGAGTTAGTTTCTTCAACTGTAATTTATCAGCATGGTTATAATGTGCAGACACAGTTTTGTTTGTAATATTGTCTCACTGAACACTCTCCACTCATGGTACGGTGTTGGAAAACCGTCTAAAACCCTGCAGGGCTTACCCCTTCTCTTTTGGTTGTGAGGCAGTAACCACATGAGCAATGTGACATGTGGGAGATGCACTTCAGAGGATGGCCGTGCACAGGACAAACTTACTTCAATCTTTTTAGAGCATAATCCCAAAACAAAACAGACAGTTTCCCTTCAGTAACACTTTATATTAAGGTTCTTGCGATAGGTAACAAGGTGCTCACAGTCCGATCAGAACTAGTTTCAGTATGATGACTAAAAATGAAGTGCGACTGATGGATCTCAGCACTGTTACAATAAAGATGGTCAAGTCAGACCTTTGGACCAAAGTGAGGATCATATATCATATATCACTGCAACAAGGGAATATGATCCATTTATTTCTGTACTTAAAAAACCCCAACAACTAATATGGCTGTGAATAGGTAATTAGTGAAAAACAACAACTATGGGTTGTATTTATGGGCTTATACAGCTAAATTCAGTTTAATTTGTTGTACAGTGAACTTCTACATTTACGATTTTCCCCTTTCTGTCCGTGATGCTCAGGGATGCTATTAATCATAAATGGTGGACCCCAAAGCATGAGATCAGGACTGAGATGTGTTGTTCTTCTCATTCTTTTTATTAAGAAACTTTTATTTCATTTTTCTTATTTTACTTTATTCCAATGCATAAAGAGACTGTGGAAAACAGTTTTTGAACACAAACTTTCTTTTGTATCCATAGTCAAAATGTTAATAAATAGCAGTAATATAAATAATAAATACTTTACAATACATGTATTAACTAGGTATGCCCCTATTAACACTCAGCTATGCTTTTACGCAGTAGCTTGAGTTAAAGTAACAATGTTTTACTAGGGTTAATAAACACATTCCTATACAGTTAGAAATCATTTTCATGGCTCTGTCCTCTGGAGCAGTACATAATGTTAAGAAAAGACAATATACAAATTAATACAAAGAAAATCCCTTAAAAAAAGATTAAATTAGGCCTGAGTGTCCTGGTCCAAATCATGCTTTGAAGAGCTCAGACTCACTTATAAACAGCTTATGACTTATTAATTACTGCTTATTACAAGGGTCTTGTTTTAAGTATTACCTTTCCTTCTCCTTATAGCAACTGTAGAAAGGCATGGTGTGGCAATACCAGAGTATTGGGTTAAAATCCTGCTAGTGATAGGAGTGGAGATACAGGCCTTTCACTGCCTGACTCAGAGCAGTAATTGCTAGTGCGGCACTCAGCTCTTTCCCCCTTACTTGCATTGCTGACAGACACTGAAAAAAGGCCATGCTGTTATTTTACAGGTCAGGAAACAATACATCTAAAAAATTCCAGTTGTGCAGTTCTTTTCATTACAGAAACTGTTTGATACATTTTCACCGTAGTGTAACAAACCCAAGATGCTGCCTCTCATTAGATCCAGAAAACATCTACATTTAGCCACACAACCTAAAGCAGGCTATGAGGAAAAGCAGGAGGCACAAAGAGCAAAAAGTGTGCTAATGACAGCTGAACACAATGGCTATCAGCAAGTTTGAGAAAACATTTACTTTTGGAAACAAAGGAGAGAAAAATCCCCATATAACTGGGGTGCACAATGTACACAGGAAGACAGATTTCCACTCACACGCGTAACAGCCATTCTGGAAATTATTGGTAACTCTAACCCAGAGCTGCTTTGCTCCTGTGGGTGGGATAGGTCACATGATAGCACCCTAGAGAAGCTCAGCTGTTTGCCGCTCTAATTCTGTCTCTAGCAGCTGAGCACTGACCCACTGCTCCAGTGAACTGTCCCAGCAATTATAATTGTGTTTGTGTATGTGCGTGTGTTTGTGCTTGTGTGGATGAAAGTGCTGTAGGAGTTTATGGAGTTAAGGGTGAAAAAAATGCGCAGCCATAATTGGCCCAAATGTGTACCTTCAAAATGCTTAACCCCTGCAAGCCTACGAGTGTTCGCAAATGATTTGAAGGGTGAATTATGAGACAATGAGAGAGAGAAAGGGCAAAACAGGAACAGGAAATCTTTGGAAAAAGAACAGGAAATGTGTGTATTGTGGTCTCACACACAGAAGACGTCAATGTCAGTTCAGTACAGTGCTTGAATCTGAACGTTCTTGATTCTGACAAATCCCACAAAAAGAGGTCAAATTCATCCTACTAATAAATGCTGCCTGCATAGCCAAAGATTATATAGCTTACTGTTAGATATTAGTAAAACACATCAATGAGCCTTTTAAAACTGGTAAGATGTTCTGTTAAAACGAACATGGCCTGGCCTGTAGTTTATTTTAGTCATTTGCACCTACATCACTCTGCTGACATGAGTACAGACCAGGACACAGTAGGCTTCATGATAAACAGATAAACTCTATGAAGGAAATGTTTGAGATGAAAGTACAGGTTTTCAGCTTTAATTCAAGGGTGTGACACATACGGCAAGAACCCCTTTACTTTCATACCCTAATTTTCAGAGACCCTGTTTCCTTGTTATTTCATGGCAAATCAAGCAGATAGAAGATCTGGGTTAATTCCAAGTGTTTGGCATCTTTTTACTGGAAGTGTCAATATGAGATCCAAAGAGATGCCAGAGCAAATAAGGGGGGACACCCAAGGCTAAAAACCAAAATAAAGTGGAGAAAGTGGAGTGGCCAAATAAATTATTTGGTGTATTCTTTAAGAAAATAAATTGAAAACACTAGCCAGCTCCACAACTCCTAAAACTCAGAAAGACCGCAGAAGACAACTACACGATGATGATGAAAAAAATCACATCTAACCAAGTCTAAAACAGTCGTATGGAGTTGGGTGTATCATTGTTAAAGTCTACAATTATGATCCATGGATGCAAATACAGGGGATTCACAACAAGGTGCAAACCCGTGCATACACCAAAGAATGAGACGACCAGATTAGACTTTGCTGAAAGAGCCTCAACAGTTCTAGAAAAATATAGTTTTATAGTTAAAATTACCTTAGTTTGTCCTCTGAAAATACATGTCTCTATAAAAATAGCTGTGATTCCTAAACAATTCATGATATGCAAAACCTAAAATTCACAATTCACTCACATCTTGTTTGATTTCAAACCCACTATCATGTTGTACAGAGATGTTGTATCTATAGATAGATAGCTAGATGGTAGTAGTTACACCCATGTACTACACAAAGTCTATAAAACATATTGGAGTTATAAATGTATTTAGTTTCACACAAAAATCTGGAGACAAGCATGTGTTATATTATATATACAGAGCTGCGTATAATTATTCTGCTGGTAACATTTTTAATGTGTTCAGTTTTTAACTGCCTGACTTTCTCATCTGGGAATATGATAATGAGTGCAATGGGCCTGGTTAAGTATTCAGAGGATTTATTAATTAACTTGAATTTATGCCAAGTACACTTACTTAAACTCTAATAGACCCACCCCAACAATGTCTTCACCTCAAAATTTAATTTTCATTTGTGGGAAACTAGTGCTTCAACCCCATGAAGAACATATGTGACTGTATACACAGATTTAGGCCCCGACAACACGGCTAAAGCCGGATTCTCTATTTCTGCAAGGTGTCAGTTAGCTAGCCTTATGCTCAGAGTAGTGTCTCTTTAAGGTTAAATAACATTGCTCTTCCAGTAATTTCAATTGGAAGATTACAGTTAGAGGCTCTAACTTTCTGACAGAGGCATTCATTGTTCTGTTTTTTCTTGAAAGAAGTGTAAAGGTGTAAAGTTTTTTATCAACCCTCCTGAGTTGAGTCAGTCTAGAAATTGAACAGTTGAAACACCAGCTAACTGAAGGAAGCTAACTGCTGTTTTCTTACCCTGCCTCGCACAAACAGACAGACACAAGACTGCACACCGCACACACATGCAGCACAGCCCTCAGTGTTGGAGTGGCTTATTGTTCTCTGGCATAGAGGACACAATATCCAAGTCTGGTAATAGAGGTTAGATTAATTGCTGACAAATCTGTATTCAGCAGTTCCCTTTCTCCCCGTGTGACAGATTTATGACAGAGATTGATGGAGAGGAGGGACAAGCTGAGAGCCGGCTCTGTTCAGTGAGAAAAGGGGACAACAGCTCAGTGATTCAAAGAGAAAGAGAGAGAAAGAAGAAGAAAATCCAAACACACCATCGCTTTGGTCAGATCTTATTCAAGCTACAAGCTCAAAGACCAACAGTTTTGTCTGTGAACATGTATTTCACAGTTTGTACCAAGGAAAAA